TTTGGATGGATAATTCAGAATATCCTTTCATCTGACAGTGTCCTTTGCTTTTCTACTTCCCCTAGATCTATTCACCCCAGCCCACATGGATGCTGTATTTTAAAAGATTATATATTGGGTTGTATTAATAATAATTAATATTATTAATTAATATTAATTAATATAGTAGTTTAATATTATATACTAATATTATTATTTAATTATAAAAAAAAAGTGTACCAAAAATACTAAATTTTGAAATGGGAAATCTGGCATGGAAATTTAAAGATGTAACAGCCACACAGCTATTCCTGAACGTTTAAACAAATAGCTCATCACCTATTTTTTTCACAGGAGGAGATGAATCTACGGAGTGGGAGGGTAGCAGTGGCCTGGGCATGCATTTGGCACCCAGGGAGACACAGCTGCCTGTCGCTTCCTAGGCAGGATTTGAGGTTAGCCAGCATCCTGTGCATCAGGACAGCCTGCTTCCATAGCTCTGCCATGGGGGGTGTTTGTGGCAAAGTTATATGGGATTCAGAAGGCAGTATCTTTAGAAGAGCTTGATTTCAATTTAAGACAATACAATTTTTTGAGCTGACTTCATTGAGATTCACATACGCACTTGTTCTCTGAAAAGCACACGTTGCCTATTTTTAATATAAAATATATTTTTGTGATTTATGTTTTTTTTTTTCCTGCAAATACAGTAGGATGAAAAACATGGCTGTGTGATATTTAGTGCTGAATAGTGGTTTCTTATTGGCAACTGCTCCATACATACAATCAGCATTAATTTTAATATTTTTAATTATTAATTAAATTATTAATTTTATTTTTTAATTATTACTTTTTATGGAAAATGACTTTTTTTTTTTCAGTAGATATAGACCACTTTATATATTATATTCTATCTGAAAATATCAGATAGACTTTTAGAATTTGATCACAAATGGCGTTTCTAAAAAGATCAAAGTTTTAAAGAGCTGAATTGTTCCTTACTTTTCACACAGATGCTGAAATAAATATGAGCTGTTGAGGAAAAATGAGTCAATATGGGTTCTGCTGATATTTCGGGTCATTTTAATAGATAAAGAATAAAATTTTAAACTGCTACCATGGGACTTATGAACAATCATGTTATGTTGAAGACTGAAAAATAGGTACAGATATTGAGCATGTAATTTCCATAACCATATCAGTTCAGAAATATATTGGCAGAAAATGCCCTTGAAAAATTCTAGAATAAAGACATTCTTATTTCACAGGTAACTCATGAAATGGAAAGTGAACAGATTTTGATAAAGTGACCATTTTCTTCACTTTAATTGTGCTGAGATTAAAATTGGTCATGTTTTAAGATGGTCGCTTTTCTGTGAGAGGGTAGGGAATGACATGGAGTTATTAATTATAAGCACTATCACAGTGTGTGCAATCAGCTGCACAAACAGAAGAATGGAAAAACAGAAGAAAAAGACAGACCCTTCTCTTCTAAAGTTTTACACAACTGTGTGGCTTTGCAGTGTTTAGCTCTGTTCAGGAAAAGAAGGTAATTTTCATGCTTTTATACTTGCCAAGTGGAGAGTAGCAGTATGAAGATGTATGTAAAAATTTTAGTGCCTTGAATGAATGGCAGCTGAGAAAGCTGCCAGTACTTTTGGTTCCAGTTGAAATTTCCAAGACAATGACTAGTGAGGAGGAACACAGCCAATACAGGAAGACTGAAGCAGAACACAAACTTTAACCCAACCCAGCAGCAACATCTAGTTTTCTGCATCAGTGTGCTTGCAGACACAATTCTCTCTTCCCTGCCTCTAATGTTTGCAGCTCCTAGGTCTGATGGAGGGCACTCTGCTTTCAGGCCTTCACTTATGCTGTGTATGCACCTTCAGCAAATTTGCTGATGACACCAAGCTGTGTCGTGCAGATAACTCACCAGAGGCAAGGGATGCCTTCCAGAAGGACTGTGACAGGCTCAAGTGGTGGTCCCGTGTGAATCTCATGAAGTTCAACAAGGCCAAATGCAAGGTCCTATATCTGGGTTAGGGCAATCCCAGACACTCCTACAGGCTGAGTGGAGAGGTGATTGAGAGCAATCAATCTGCAGAGAAAGACTTGAGGGTAATGGTTGCTAAAATACTCAACATGAGCCAGCAGTGTGCACTCGCAGCCCATAAAACCAGCTGTGTCCTGGGCTGTATCAAAAGAAGTGTGGTCAGCAGGTTGAAGGAAGTGATTCTCCTGTTCTACTCTGCTCTTGTGAGACCCCAGCTGGACTATTGGGTACAGTCCTGGTGCTCCCAACAAAAGAAGGACATGGAACTCTTGGACCAAGTCCAGAGGAGGGCCATGAAGCTGATGACTGGAGCACTTCCCCTAAAAGACAGGTTGTTGGGGCTGTTCAGACTGGAGAAGAGAGGGTTGTATAGATACCTCATTGCAACCTTCTGGTATCTAATGGGGCCTACAGGGAGGCCAGAGATGGACACTTCATCAGAAACTGTAGTGACAGGACAGTGAGTAATGGGTACAAACTGAAAGAGAGGAAATTTAGGTTAGATATTAGGAAGAACTGTGATGGTGGTGAGGCACAGGAACAGGTTGCCCGGGGAGGGTGTGGGTGTTCCAACCCTGGCAGTGTTCAAGGGCAGATAAAATATTAAATTAGATAAATTAGATAAGGCCTTGAACAACCTGGTTTGGTGGGAGGTGTCCCTGCCCATGGCACAGAGGGCTGGGACTAGATGGTCTTTAAGAGGCATTCTACCCCTTAACAGTCTATCAATCTATGGGCCTCTGCTTAGCACACTAAAGGGACATTTTGTTTTATTTTTCTCATGAAAATCTGTTTTGATCTCATCAGATGGATGATCCAGAAACAAAAGGCTCTGCTGACTCTCTAGTATGCCTGTACCTTAATGTGACAGAGCTTCCCACACATTTTCAAATTCCATTACAGAGACACTGAGCTGAGGAGATAGTACAAGGTCTGGAAATGTTTTGAATGCCTATATATTTTTATTGTTCTTTTAATTTTAATTAGTTCAAAGAAACATGTGTTTTTATGTTATTTACCATATCATAACTGGCATGTAAATTCCAGATAGCTTGCTGGAAAACTTGTTTTCCAAATGTAATATTTAGTGTTACTGTATATTCACATGAAATGAAAATCTTTGTAATTTAGAACCTGATTACATTCTTCAAGAACTGAATACTGAGCAGTGTAGTCGGTGTCTAATGTATTAAAAACTTGTCACTTGAAAGTTCTGAAGATTGATTTCTGCAGAAATTAAGTAGCTTGGGTCCTGTGCATCAATAGTCACATCAAATATTACCCAATATGTTTTGCTGCATTTGGTTCTGAATTAGTAGTGTCACTTTTTTTATCTTGTGAACATACTTCCTGATGACTTCAGATCATGTACTATTTGTTCAAGTGTAAACTGGGAAGAAAACCAGACTCAAGCTCTCCTTTCCACCACTCCTAACAATCTCATCAGGACACCAGTTAAGATCTGCCAAACCTTTCATCAGATGTAGAAATGAATGGAAAGGTTGCTTCTGTAATTAGTAATAATTAGTGCATTTACCATGTTAACAGACCTATTACAGTTCATTTAGCCATGTTTATCTTGTTATAAACAGTGAACTCCCCTTCTCACAAAGCTTATGTAAAGAGCATTGCGCAAAGAGGAACCAGGGCTTCAGACTATGTTTAACTGTGTCTAGTCAGTACACAAGAGTCTGGGCTAGTCCAGGGACAGCTCCCATGGAAAGGCATAGTGGCACAACACACTCCAGGAAACTCCATGAGTATCCTGGAGATACCAACTGCTTCCTGTGACTCTACTGTAAGCCAGTGATTCTCCTTCCACTTTGCCCCAAGGATACAACTGGGATGTGAGCATTAATACCTGTAAACCTGTAAAGGTCCTCAAATGCAAGATGTCATAGAATTGTCAGGTCTCACAATAGTATTAAAGCAGCATCACGCAGCAGGATTTATCTAAGTAGGAGAAAGAGGTTTACCTGCATTCATACACCCAGAAAAGCAAGTGCATTTGACCTGTGTGAACCCTCTGTATTCCAGCCCCAGCTACAGCTGTACATATCAGAATGGTAAGCCCTAGCTGCTGTGCAGCACTTGAAAGCATGTCAGGAGAAGTGAAGGCCTTCTGTCCATTCACAGAGACTGTGCATAGACTGTTAAATGTTTTATGATGGCTGTTTTTTAACTACACTATTGTTAAAGCATATGGAAATCACAGCAGTCAAAAGCTACTCTTTCTTGTCCTGCAGGTTTTTTTATCAGAGGGTAGGTTGTGTTTGTTAAGAGGTGGCTGTTTCTACTTTCTCCTCTGAAAACAGCTACTGAAAGTATTACCCTAGACTACAAAGTGAATAGATTTGTGTAGTAGCTGAAATCCTGAAAGGCTTAGAATCCTCTTTTCACAAAATGCTGGGATAACTTTTAAAGTTAAAAAGAAAAAGAGAGTATAATTCAAATAACTGCAGCAATAGAACATAATATTTCATTAACCCCCCCCAAACAAACAAACAAAGCAACAAACAACCCACAACAAAAAAGCAATAGAAAATGGTCTTGTGTCTCCAGCTAGAAAACTGACATAAATAGCTTTTCTGGTATAAGGGCAACTGCATAAGAGATGTTGAAAATTCAGTCAAAAGGAAAAAGAAATACTTCAAGTTTTCCTTGTACCAGGCAAACAGGAATCTTTGCAACTACAAGCTGACTGTGCCAAAGTAAGGGGACCAGCTCCCTGAAGTGCTTTAAAGTAACAGTTACTGAAATGGGATAAACAGATATTAGGACTAAGAGAAGTACAATCACTGCACAAATGTTAACTGAAATCATACCATATGATACATTAGTTCATAAAGTTATTTAACATAAGCAAAAGAAGGTAAGAAAATAATAGCCAACAGAAGGAATTTTGACAGTTTCAGTCATTTCTGTCATCTCAATTTTCCTTTTCAGAAGAATTACTTCATCAAGCTGATGACAAATCATACGTCAAAGTTTATTAAGAGGAAAAACAGGGGTATCTGATTTTACACTCAAATAATTGACAAATACAAGTCTTTAACAATAAAGCTTCATCAGAACGTAGGAAACAAAGCCATTATGCTGTGCAAACACCTTTCAGTGAAGTACATACAGCTTTGGGCAAAAAACACTATGTCTCATATCCCTACTGCCTGAAGATAATCTGAAGATAATTAACTTTGTTAAAATTTTGTTCTCCTGCGGTGAAACTGTTGCCAGGGATCTTTTTCAAAGTGTAAGTAAAGGAGTCTGTGAAAATCTGCTTGTGTTAAAATGTATTCTATTGAAAGAGCAATACTTAATATTTTACTGAAAAAATGGCAAAATTTTTTAACTTTGGGAAGTATAAAGTGAATTGATTAGCAATTTTATGAAGGGGGTTTATTGGGTATTTTTGTTTTATTTGTTTTTTGCTTTTTTTTTTGTTTAGGTAGGCTGGAACATCAAAGATCACATTTTGATCTGTGCTTGCACCCACCCAGTTGGAATTATCATGTGCAGGATCATATGCTGCTAGGCAGCTTTCAAAGGTGATACTTCTGTCTGAAGCTCCTCTTAGGGCTGTAAATTTCATTTGTACATAGTAATTGTGCATTGGGTCCCTTTCTAGCAAAAATGGCATGCAGAAATCAGGATTTGGAGAACATGATCTTCCCACCCAATTATTTATGTAAGACCTGCCCATAATCATTGCTTTGTGCTCTGCTGAACAGAGAGACAGAGGAAGTGGAAGAATAGTATCAAAATACGTAACTCCAAAAGATAAAAGCCAAGATTTCTAGCAAAGAGTGGCAGTGTCCACAGCACAAGATCAGAAGGAAATTCTGTGAACTGTGGAAAGCTCATCTTCCTATGGTCCTTATTCTGCTGCTGTTACAGATTGTGCTCCTTGGTTCAACCTAGAACACCCTAACAAGTCAGAGGGGCTTGTGGCAGACACTCTTGGCTGAGCCATTTCACCTTTGGTACTTAAAGAAACAGGTCCTAGACACACTACTGTCTTTCAACCATAGACCACACAATCTGTCTGAGCACGAATAGAATAAGACTATTTACATCTCCCATTTTGCACCAGGATTTTTTACTTTGGTTTTGGTCCAAACCTTCTATGGAAGTCATATGCATCAGTTAGAGAAGCCTATTAGTTATTAACATAGGTTTGTTATGAGGAATACACTCAAGGACAAAAGACTAATTGACTAAGCCCAAGGTTTTAACAAATTCTTCCAACATTGTAAAAGAAACATGTGCACAATGATATTATTATAGTTCTAATAACCTCCTAATGCAGAAATACACAGAATTTCTCACACAAAATAGTTAAGACTTAGGTTTTGGAGAAAAAAGTACAAATATCAAATAAACCTAGTGTGCCCAGAAAAAAGGATAAGTACAAAAAATAAACAAGAGACAGAGTCCATACCCCTAATCTGATTTACATAGCCTTACATGTACTTTACTTGAACTAGATGTTAAATACAAATGGTATTTGTGATATCATTCTTAGGTGTATTTACTTGGTAGTAAGAACATGGGCTACAGAATGGCATATTCTAAAATAAAAATACTCTAAAAATATTCTAAAAGAAAAAAAAAACAAAACCCTTTCATGTTTCCTTAGTTCTCTTAAGTCTCATCCGTGTGACAGCAGCAGTGAGCTGTTAGGTGTAAACTGTCATTACAGAGAACGTGAGCACGAGCACACAACTTAGAGCAGTCTGCTCACTAGCTATCTAGTTAAGACTAATTTCAAAAGTCTTGTCATCTTGACTGGAAGATTAATAGCTGCTTCCTCCTGATTAAACATCGAAACCAAAATTATAGAACTTGTAGATGGCCTCCTTCACGTGCTAAATTTATAAACTTTCACTGTGAGCCACTCTACAGTTTTACTTCTCCATTCAAAAAGTTTTTACCTGGCAATATTTACCTAAGGGAATATTTAATCGTGAACAATATAAAATTATCTTTTTTGTAATGAGGACAGATCATTCAAATCACTTTTACTGGGCAGAGTCTTTGTTGTACTGAACAGTAAGAGGGGTTTGCAGAAGTATCTACTACATATTTTTTGAAAGTTATCTAGAACCAAAGCTCAGTCTTACACCCAACCCCAAGCCATGTATGGAAATTCACTTCATCTGAGCATTTTCTTGAGGTCACTGCTGCCCATTCCTTCTCCTTGCATACAAGCCAAGGCAAGCGCAGAATCCGACGACACTGACAGCGAGGCCTAGGAGGAAGGCAATGGTATCTCCTGCGTCCAGGGCTTCAGCTACTGGCAGCACCAGCAGCAGTGACACGAGGACCAGGAAAAGTTTTGAGGTGTTCTTGGTTGAAGGCATGCTGAAGACCAGCCGACCCCAGGGGGAAGTTAAATGAAGAAAGTGGTGGACAGCAGGTACTTCGCAGGTATCTACAAGGAAAACAGAAGGAACATTACAGGATCTTCTTTCCTTTCCCCCTCGATTTGTCTTACAAAAGCCAACTCATTGATGCATTACAGGTCTTTGTGTGGGGCTCATGAAATTTAGGTTTTATCTTTTCTGTGGAAACTAATCTTATGAAGACTTACCGTGAGGTGAAGTCAGAACAGGCTCTCCTGTCTGTAAGCAGCTACCAGAGCCTGCTTACCTGGTGCTTTGCTAGGCGGGCCGGTTTCACCAGGTGTTTAGGGCCTGATGGCTGCTGCACATCCCCCACCCACACTTCTAACACCGGGAATCCTCGGGATCCGTGAGCACGAACAGACTACGGTACACTGGGCAGGGAGTGAATTTAACCTCCCGGGCAGTGCCACCGTGCACACCCTCACTGCGGGACGAATGTCTGTCGTGCTTCCCGCAACTCGGAAAGGTGCACGCCGGCACCAGCCCGGACCGCCCTCTCCGCAATAGTTCTTGCCGCGGGGATGGCTCGTTCCCGGGGTGCACACGACGAAAACCCGCGCCGGGACACCCGAATAAGCGGCTGCTCCGCTCGCACCCCGGCGGGGCCGCTGCCGGACCCCG